ACACCCAAATGTTTGTGTAGTATTAATTATATTTGACTCATGCCTATGCCTAAAGATGCCCGAATTTCATGATATGTGACATACCTGTCTGTTTTAATCATACGGCGCACAGCATCGATGTTTTTGTTGTTCACAGCAGTGGACGACCATCACGAAATTCGTCACTAAGATTCACACGACCGCGTTTGTATTCTGAAACCTGTAAATAGTCGTCTTTCATGGTACTTTATCGCCAAAAGCAGTTTGAAGCCGAGCGAAGCTCCGCTGAGTTGTTAGATTACACTTAAAGTCGTAGTAAATCATACCACGAAAATTTTCATGAGTTAAACCCATGGTGAGACAACCAATTTCTAAAATGACATCACAATGTAAAAACAAGTGACAGTCAGATGAAACAAACTGTGTTCTACAGCCAAAGAGTTCTATTTTGAAATGTTGTAATTACATTTTAAATGTTGTTTATGTAAGTGGCCAGTTCCGGAAACTTATAGTGCGCCCTTTGTATCATCCGACATATAAAATTATCTCATTAAATTTTACAGGTGATGAGTGTTGCATATTGGACTATAAATTGTATTTACCTATTTTGTTTATTGTACGTATTGTTGAAGTATTTTGAAGATGGAGTACCGAACATAAAAAGGACAATAACGTATATTCCACACGAAATTATAGTGAGTTCAACTTAGTATTTACACATGTTATTGATATGTATTATTAGAGGCCCACTGCTTAAATGAGCATCAGTTCATGTCATCGTGTCTTGTTATTACGACGCGCGACATCACTGTTATATCTACTGCCACCCCTCTCGCACCGCGCATCTATCTCAGGAACCAACTCTTTTTTTTTATAATATCAAATGTCGGGACGAACAAGTCGTACACCTGATGATAAGCTACACGCCTGTCTATAACAGTTGCAATGCCACTCAGAGCTTTAAATCGCAAAGATCTGAGGGGTACTGCCACTGCGCCCGTCACCCTGAGACATAAGTTAATAAGTCCATGTGCCTATAATTTCACCAGCACCCCCTACCCTTCAAAACCAGAACGCAGTAATCTTGACATTACTCTCTTGGCGGCATAAACAGATAAGGTAACAGTGCTCAGGTCAGCTGTTAGCCAGTAATAAAGTTTACCAGTAACTAGTTTTCACTGATAATATAAGAAATTTTTCTTATCGTATCGTAACGCTTGCCAACGTAGTGAAAGGATTTGGCAATGGGAGTACGTCATTCGCTGGTTATTGCTCAGGATGCGCCAATTATACAGGAAGGGAATACGTCGTGCAGGGAAGCTCCTTTCGTGCACCCGAATATAAGAAATGAAAAATCATCACCGGCACCTCTAGGTGTGATATGCTTCCAGAGACGCATGAATCGCGTGAGCGAATAATGTCATGTCAAGTCACATGTATTCTGAAAATGAAACAAATACGGATTTAAAATCGTATATATAATTTTTTACAAACAAACCAACGTTTCGGGGTGTTTAGAGGCCCCATGGTTACGACTTTCGGCAATTTTAAATAATGAAAAAATTGTTTTATGCCCAATGTTTAACACGTGAAATTGACATAAGTATATCTCCTGTTACAGGATGCTGCTTTCCCTTCTATAGGTTTGTCAATAACTGCTCCACCAATACTACATGTGCTTTTTGCGCGAAGCGTTCATCCAGTAAGTATGAGCAAAAATTAACGTGTGTCTTCACATTAAAGTATTTTATTTGGTCCCTAAAGTAGTATACAGTTCCGATTTGCTCATTAATTCATATTTATAATGCTACCTAAACAGCTTGAGATCAATACGATCTGATATTCTGTTTCCAGGTTGACGCTGGCTGGGACAGCGGTGTTTTAGTTAGCTATTGCTTCATCTACGTTGTGTTCCGTGCAACCGTTGACTTTTGTGTGAAACTAAATGTTGAGGCTGACATTGGCTTCGCGTACAACCTTCCGCATTATAGTAAGTTTTGTTTGCTTGTGAAAGAGCTCGTTCAGGGAAGTACTGGTTCCCCAACCTATTTCTGCCGCCCAGCAGTATTACAATACAATACTGTGTTCCGGTTTGAAGGGTAAGGGTAAAATTACAGGGCGACAGGCGCAGTGGCAGTGCCACTAAGATCTTTGCGGTTTAAACTTGATGGGCGTGACGCTTACTACCAGACGCACGACTTGTATTATAAAAAATGTTATAAGTCATGATCATAAATCATGGTCACCATCTCTATTAGCCGTTATCGTTGTTCACATCCTTCATGTAGTATCACCCGTCACAATTTATTCATACATTTCTTTTTGGTGATTTTCTCCCCTATAACCATTGCATCACATTCATATTAAACAACTTCCGTGTAATATGACTTCCAGGCCACAAGCACAAATTGTCAGTTATACCATAATATAATTAAGACACGTATGATAACTTCATACAACTTAGAAGCGCGGCTTGTACGCTTGCCGTGTACAGACGTACACATTCGCGGTGCACTTGTATTGCATAGCACGAGTAGTCATCACACGCGCTATTAGTTATAGAATTGAAGCAGTCGTTCGATGTTTATAAAATTACATGAAATAGTAGACGCGTCTATTGTTTTTGTTTGTGGTAGATTGAACAACAGTGCTTGAAATTCAGCATTGTTATTTCATTTCTATTTTATACTCCATAAACATGATACCAATCTGCGATACTGGTATTGGTATTAGAATATCAACACGTAAGTAGCTACTGTATTTAACAAAGTACTGTTAAACTAACGGATAACTCTAGTCTAATTTTAGTTTTTGCTCGACATTTTTGGAACCAGTCTGTAGTCCCCTTAATCATGAGAATCCGCGGCGGCGGTGACTCGACGGAAACTGCGCGCCAAAGCCTTGACAACCCGGTCACTCAGTTACAGTACCCTAATTTGCTTTATTTGTATTTAAGTCATATGCAGAATGTCACTTTCCAAACATGTTGATTAAAATTTCGACATAATGCTCTGGCCACCCAGAGACGGTAGCGGGTGCGGTCATTTGTAATGTTTCGAGTTCTTATACACCCTGGCACATTGAAATAGGTTGGTGGGGTGACGCGGCCGCGACCAAACGCTTTGTCAAACATGCGGACCAGGAGCGGGCCGGGTCCAGAGCGAATGCGGGGCGGGTCAGGCCCAAGTATTCCATTGAGTTCTATGCAATTGTCCACACGAGAGCGAGGCTTTACCGGGATTGTATGTTGTATTTTTTCACAACTCTGGAATGTCTTTTTTTATTAAATTTCTTTTTCGTTGCTTCCGTAACGCTAATAAAAGCAGGAATTTTCTTGATCACTATCCGACATCGATGTGGCGCTCTCTTTACATGTATGTAGAAAATGAAATGCTCTTGGTGTCACACCGGCCGCCTTCGCGCCTCTGCTGTCCTGTTGCGAGCTTTAGTAGCAGTAGAGGTCCTTGTGAAATAATGTATTATCCAGTAATGTATCATCCAAATAATAATTCGTCCAGGGTACTGGTACCTAACCTATTTCTGCCGCCAAGCAGTAATGTCAGCATTACTGTGTTCCGGTTTTAAAGGATAAGGGTACTGGTGAAATTGCGGGCACATGGGACTTGTCAACTTATGTCTTAGGGTTACGGGCGCAGTGGCAGTGCCACTCAGATGTTTGCGATTTCAAGCTCTGAGGATACTGCAACTGTTATGGACAGGCCTGTAGCTCACCATCAGGCGCACGACTTGATGGTCCCGTCACTTGATATTATAAAAAAAGGAACCGTGGTACTACTGTGTGACACGCCCCGGGTACTCGGACCGCTTTTCCCGCTGTACCGCGTCTATGTGGCCTGACCTTACATACGTGACTTATTCGTTACTTTAGTTCATATGTTCGAGTCTCAGGTTTCCAACCTGTGGGTACAACTAAAATGTAACAACCCTACGTAGGCATTTACGCATTAAACAGGCAGGAGTTGCCCTACTGGCTCTAATTAAGTTGTGGGTATACGTTTATTATTTGTAATAAGTACTCAAACAAATAAATATGCCTAACAATCATATCAATAGCATCATTTTTCAGTTAAATGGTGGGAAATTCCGGGTAGTCAGTGAACCAGACATTAGTTGTGAGTATCTGAGAACAATGACACTGTTATGTCCAATATAAATGCTTCATAAATTGATTGAAAGCGAACGTGAAACCTCATTTAGTGGCCGAATTGTGATTCAGATAGTCATATGATCAGAATCAATACTGACAATAGTGTTAAATTGGTTGGATTGTTTTATTGTGATCATCATAAGATCGTTATTAGACGAGTCAATTGTGTGTTCATTATTTCAGATATGTACTCATCATTTTTCTTCTATCCACTGTTCTTCTCTTTTTTGCCTATGGGGGATTTTATAACAATGACATTCTTATGCGCAAGAGCGTTTCTTGAATTGATGTTATTGGTAAGTGCTGATGCATTTTTTCCTAAAAAGATAAGTATTTTAGTTCCTAAACTTAGATGTTCTAAACTGGCTGTTTTTGGCTCCGATAACAAACAGTTGTTAGTAATTCATTACGTATTTTGTGTATAGTCAAGGGCAAATATATACATGTAACCAAGGAATTGTTTTCAAAATGTAATGCTTAGCTATGATTATTTTAGATATATTATTAGACAGGACAAGTCACCAATCAGTCCTTTTTCAGACGCGATTACATATTTTTAATAAGAAAATGTTTATGATACTCGTTTAAAACGTTTGAAGGTTTCATATTTAAATCCTTCAAAGGCCCATCTCTATAATCTATAAAAAGATATATTATCAAGATATTGTTTTGAAAATATTATGCTTAGCTAATATTTCTTTTTAGTTACCCATCAATACTCGTTAGTTGCGATTACATATTTTCGATAAGAAAATGGTTATAGTAGTTGTTTGAATCCTTTGAAGGTTCCATTTTTGAATCCTTTTAACCGCTCACGCGATACATGCAGCCGTAGACGCATACCACACCTAGAGGTGCCGGTGATGATTTTATACCGATTTATCGGATATCGAAGTTATAACAGGTAAAAAAACTAATATTAATTGCTATTTCGGTAACTACTCTAGCAAACTATAAAGTTTTTAATGCCTGGGTCTGTCATTTAAAAAAAATAAACAACTTCAAAAATACGTCACGACAATCGTGTGTGTTATTGTTTGGGCTGGTGACTTCGGTGTTTACTTATTGAAAACATACCGTAAGTAGCGTTTTTTAAGTATACCCTGAATATAAATGTTTATAAACTATACTTTAAGGAGTAATTTCATGGTAAACGTTAGAACCACTCAAACGGAATATTATCATATTTATCCAAATACACCAAAAATTTCATTAGTGCTTTTTAAGTGCAGGATTGGTGGTGTATTACTGCATTTTATTTGAGATGTTTTTGTTGGTAGTACGGAGGGTATTTGTTTAGCAATGCAGAATAATAATTTTGATTTATAAAAACATGTATTTAAACTGAATCCTTTTCTATTTTGCGAAACCAAATAGCCGCCATTTTGCGGTAGGAGGAGCGCATCGCGTGAGCGGTTAAAGGTTTATCTCTATCGGGAACAATTGCTTATGACGAGATTTTATAGGGACATTCAATTAGTAAGGACGTAGAGCCAGTCAATAGCGAGCAATTGGTTGGCACAAAAATAATCATCCCAATGAGAATTTCACCATGCTCATGAAGCAGTGAGCCCAAAGCTCTAAAGCTTTCAGGAAAAGCACGACAAACGATAATCGTCGGTCTGAGAGACCAATACGATGGTTAAGATCGATATTTGCAAACAATTTTTTTTCCTTATTAAAAGCTAGTCTCTTGTTCAGCGCTCTAACTTTGATTTCCTGATACGAGAAGACATAAAGTTACTCCTTATCTGATCCTTCCAAGAAAACTGTTGTGACGTATCAGATGCCGAAACATCTTTCCCATTCAGTTCTTTATTGCCTTTAGCAAGCTTCTGTTTTTCTGGTCTATTGTCAACAAATTCTTATTGGAAATGAAACTTTTTTTTGGATCTAAATCGCGAATATTCGTTTTTTTTTAAACCGACGTTTTGGGTTATTCCCATCCGATCCCCTATAATGAATCCGCTGCCAATTTTAAATCCCAACTGATTCCCTCTATATTTTGCAACTCCCAACGAATCTCCTATTTATATTTGTAAGGTAAGTACAATCAAGGGAAAAATAAGTTTTAAAATCAAATATTCATTTATTGAAAAATGTTATAATTATCACGAACAATAAAATTTTCTTGTGACGCCATAAATATTTACATTTTGTAAATCACAATAACAAAAAATCAGTTGTAAGTAATATTTAAAATATAACTTTAATGTTATAATTATCACAGAATCAATTTATTTTGTGACATGTTTATTTGAGATCCGAAAAAAAATGTTTTGAATAATTTATGTGCAACAATCACGAAAACGTTACTCTTTCCATCCAACTGATACTGATTATTTACTATGTACCTTAATATCAAAAAATTCATTGCAGGCTGCCACATTTCAATGTTTGGTAGAAGTATTGTACTGTGAATGGCCATGGCGATTTAAAAAATTTCGAGTGAGAAAATGGATAATATCTATAATAATTTCAGTAATTATATTAGGGCTATACTTCGTAACACCATTTTATGTAAGTTTGACTTTAATACAGAAAATGTAAATGACTCATTTTGGATCGTCCTTTTTACCATAAATGGGAGTAACTTGGCTTTGTGACGGAGAAAAGTTATATACACTATTCAGAAATTCTTATCCTAAATTATACGTAAAAAATAAATGTACATAATATTAGTGCTCTAAGATACAGATGTAGTGAAATAAACATGGTATCATTTAGTCAATGTCTAACGTGGTCAAATAAATGCATGTGTTATTATTAAGAGGGAGCATTCCAAAAAAGTTTTGACGTTGGCTGCGCCCAAATTTGTGAAACAAATATATGCCTGAAGTTCGCGTGACACGCGACAGGAGATGTTGAATTTTGCGCATTAAAAGTACCAAATTCGTTTTAGCGGAATAATTCTAAAACTAAAGGGATTAAAAAACAATCCGTAGTGACAGTTCTCGATCATGCCTAAAATAATTATCTAATTTTTGTCCTAATAACCTGTAGCATTTCGAGGATGAATCGAAAAAATGTGAAAATTAGAGGTCATTTCGTGATTTTTATCTATCGAGGTTTCTGATTAGTGTCTATGTTTGAATATATCGTGTAGTTACTCATACAATATTTTATTTTTAACTTTAAAGTGGATATACCCCTCTAAAATCAAATCGAAGATTAGGAAGTTTTCCTCTGCTCCCTCTTAACTTAAAGAAGTGGCAATAATGTTCGAAAATATTCGGAATTTCCGAGTTTTCCCGATTTTATTCACCACACTTGAACGACACAGGTTATTCTTAGAGCGGTTACCTACACCAGGCGACATTTAGCAGCAATGCAAACGCGATGTCGTAGTCTACCTTTACACACACGCGCGATTTTAAGAAGCAATGCAAGCTCGCGACTGCATCGCTGCTTATATTAAGTCTTAATTCGCCTATAATTTTGACAGAAATTAAAACATTTTTTAAATATTTCCTATATTAAAAGTGACGATACAGCTAATGCAGTATTTTTAAAAAAACGTGCACATATCTACGCGAGAAATGAAAAATCTACCGTTTTGGAGTCGGTTATATAAATTGTTTTTTTTTTTCAGGCGCGAATGTATCTTTATGGAGTCAGTCAGGTACTGTCGTGCCTATTAGAAATACTCATAATAACACTTTTCTACCCAATTGGTAGATTAATGGACGACATTACCTTCCACCATGGTTCTCCACCGGCGAAATTAAGATTCTATACATTATTAATTTTTCCTGTCTATTACACCGTAAGTAGATTATTACAGGGACCGGGAAGTCAGTGATTGCTTGACGAGTATGAGTGAGTGAGGCCTTGTATAGACTAGTCAGGCAATTCTCTTTTCCGCCTTGGCACATAACGTGGGTGTAACACGGACGGAAAATATTTTAAATATTGTAGATAGTATATTTAGCTTAATAGAGACCATTGACTTACAATTATATGGACGTCGGGTCCGCGCTAAAAAGTGTCCGAACTTATGGGGCGTTAAAATCGTATACAGAGCGTCATTCACGCTTTAGTCTTCGTTTGTTCGACTGACAGCGAAGCAAGCAAAATTAGACAGTACTGCGATGACATTACAATTTAAATTCAACGTTCTAGCTTTTTCATATTCCTTTACATGTCACTACGTTTAAATACTTGGGACATTTTTTTCGTGGTTTTTGTATTAGACCCGTCGTCCATTTATTTATAAGTCAATGATAGAGACGTTATTTTTAATTTAAAAGTAAGTAATAGTGCATACAAAGATTTAAAAAAAGTCGCTTGCCTCTCCTGAGAATCGAACTAACAAAGTGTGAAAAATAAACATTCTGTAATTTTATGATGCCGATCTTAGAGGGTTTGCGCATTACGTATTGTGTATCTGGGGTCTACACTCGATCTCCGTCCGACATCCGTCCGAAACAATTACTGTCAAATAAGTAATATTCGACAAAATTAAAAGACAAATATCCAGTATGAAGCTTCATTCGCATCACGCGTCTTTTCATTTGGTCAAGTATTGCTTATTTGGCAGTAATTGTTTCGGACGTAGTCGATTGGGCAATCGACATCCGAAATGGGTCCGAGTTTTCTAGATGTCTATGGTCTCGGATTCGGAACGACTAAGTATCGGATGCAGTACGCAATGCGCTAAGAGTCAATTATGAGGATAAATTACTGCCAAGTAACATATTATTATAAATGAAAAGAATACCATGAAATTCAAGAAAATGATGTATATAACTCATTTTACTGATGATATTCGCACTTCAAGATGGCGCTTCGGCTCAATAATCGAAGAACGGCCGAGCCTGTATAAAACACAGGGTTATTTTTAAAATAAGTAACATCATAAATGATAACTTTTTGTTCAATTTTGACAAAATAATAAATTTTCCAAAAATAAACTTTAAGTTTTTTTGTACATTCTGACACGCGAGGTTCTTAGTATTTTACAAACAACGCTTTTATTATCACAACGATGCATGCGAGGTGATAATAAAAGACGAAAGAATGAAGAAGAAGATGTAGGTATAAACAGAAAAAAATAAAAAGTTTATTTTACCACCTCTTTCTTTGAAAAATAAAGTGTGTAGTGTGGTGTGGTAATTATCGATATATTAAAGGCATTATAGTAAAAAATTATAAACCAGTTATATAAATTATAAACAAGCAGCCTGTATGACAGTTTTTCCTTAATTTGTTTACATAGTTCGTTGTTAAGAATGACTACTTTTCTGGCCTAGGCCGGTAAAGATTTGCATAGATAAATAACAAACGTTTTCTTTTTTTTTAAATACGTATATACACACACCAGCATATTTAGTGGAACATTAGTAATACGATGGTAAAGATGTTCAATAAAATAGTAAATATTACTGTGCTATAATGCAGTGTTTGTTCAAAAGTCTGGTCGGTTATTTTGCTTTTTGTCTTAAGTCTAATTTAAAAATAAAGAAATTTAGTCGACTGATTTTTTTTTCATTTATTTGTTACTAATACAGGGTTTGTCCAGTGATTCGAGGTTGAAAAATTTGGTAACTTAGTTGAATTATGTTTTATTTTATTTGAATTTTGTTTGTTGAATTTTTATTTTATTTACGTACTAAAATTTGTTTTAATCAATGCGTGTGTGTTTTAAATTTAAATTTTCAGTTATTTTTGCCTGGTCACAAAATCCAAAAAATTTAGTTAGTTTAATTTCGATTTAATAAAAATAGAGGTTAAATAATAAGTCGATGTTAATGTAGTTACTTGCTGCTTTATGTTTAATTCTTATTTATTTAAATATTAACACGTTATTTTATTTTTATGCTAATTGTTTTGTTTTGTGCAGAACTTGGCAGAATTTAGTATAGTTTTGGGGAGATAAAAAATATATATAATATTTCTAATTCGTCTTTCGACAAAGGTGTGATAACGATAAGTGTGTGATATAGTGAAAACAATAACAAAAATTTACCAGACAATCACACTACTCTGCTTTCAAACAATGTTAAGGGTTTCGCAAAAGATTCCAAAGTTACGAAGTTAACTCTAATATCAAAATCACAGTCAATTTAGCAAAGTTAGCTTCTTAAATTAGTCCTACTGGGTAAGGAGTCTGGGTCGTTCAAAATGTTATCCACTATTGGGACAGCCTGGAGCCTATTTTTCCAAAATCACAATATTACACGCTCAAAGCAAATCTTTTTTTTTCCCAAAAGTCATAGTTACACAACTATAGTAACCTAATAGAATGACGGTTGCTTCTAAATTAAAATTGATGGTTCAAATCTTTGAGACGACATATGCATATGATTGTAATTTCTAACTTTGTTTTCACAACTTTTGGGAAACGTGTGAAATTCGGCCAGAAGTGGACTATTATGGCCATAGCTATGGCCTAAACCCTTCGAAGAACATTAATTATTGATACAAAGATCGAACACTAAGAAAAATTCCTTCGATCGGGCTGAATTCGGACTAGCGCCTTACCATACCTGACCATAGCGCATACCGTTCCTGACCGTCTCCCAACTGAGCTACGGAACGAACGGGCAGACCTTACGAATGTTTCTGTGTAATTGTTGTTTTTGCCGTAGCGCCATCTGTGAGAAATCTATGAGTCATTCTTTACTAGCCAAGTACCTTTACAGGTACCAGCGCAGCGGCTGACTAGAGATGTCGCCATAATAATTTAAATATTAAGGTCATTGAATATTACCTGGTTTTACTACCACGATATTAAATTTTTTTGTTGTGAATTGTTTCCATTAGTTTGTTATAATTATGAATACAACGACCGAACACTAAAAAGTGTACATTGCGTTGCGACGATGGCGATTAAAAGCAATTCTTTAGAATATAAAATGACAGATCTAGTGTCTGTTTTTGACATTTCAAAACACCAAACGTCGTCACAAATTGTGTTGTGTATAATTTAATTCAGTTTTTAATGTAATCCGCCTATATTTAATTTAATAATTATATACTCCCCGAATTTTGTGAAAAAAAATAAATAAAAAAATAAAAATCCAAATTGAAAACAGAGATGACCGAAATATGAAGTTGGCGTGTTCATCGGAGCCAATAATATTATATTTCTGATCGGAGGTATCAAAATGGCATCTATATAGCTACAAGTTTCGAGGAATTCATATACATTTAGACGCAACTCAATTACTGGCGCAGAGTTGAACCGTCGAGATGCATCATGTTTTTCGCCTATAGCATATTCATCTTTATTTTCCCGTTATTAAGGTACAAATTTGTGTTATGCAAATATAGAATCACCGCACGTTGCCGTGCGTTACTTGCGAGAGACGCTTCGACTCTGCGCCAGTGTGTCTTAAAGTTTAATTTTGCAAACCCAGGTAATAGCATTCCTTTCTTCACTTAATGTAGTACATGGCATTTTTGTGGCAACTAAGTAAGATGGTCTTATCAGTTTTCAAAAGAATACATTTTCTACTAATCATCGTATAACTACCACTTCTTCTTATTGTATCGATGGCATACACTGTAGTGTATGCCATCATGGTGAAAGGATTTGTCAATCGGCGTAAGGTACTGGCCGATTGATTTCCAGTTGCGCCAGACGTACAGGAAAGGAATGGTACGTCGTTCGGGGAGGCTTCTTTCGTGCACCCCTTTGTAGAATTATATTAACATGACCTATAATTTAAAACAGTGAAGTCAGGCCATTTAATAATGATGATAAACTGAAACAACCTTAGTAACTTTTTATTCGATAGTTTTAAAAGTAAGAATGAATGAATGAACGAGGGCAGCGATATGGCAGCCGTATTAATTGTCTATTAAATTTAGTTTAGACTAGGTATTATTTCAGACGTTGCACTGACTTAGGTTGGAAAAGAAAATAATTTTATAAAGTATTGTTATTTCTGAATACTATTACATTATACTAGTTGTAATGTTTTGAGAAAATGTATGTGTATCTATATGTAATATACCTTACTTATATTGTAAAAAAGCCGCTATCTACTAAATGCAAGCGAGTAGAGCAACATACATTAATGTAGCGCTGCGTAGCGTTTCGTAGCAGTTCTACGAAACCTATTGTAGCGCTACGTTGCAATGGTATAAAAAATGTTCAACAACGGTTTATTTTGTCTTTTCAGTTCAAATCGTATAAAATTTTGCGCTCCCTGATAACATTTCCTTCTATGGATTTTTACAAACTGCAATCTTTTAAAACGTTGCAAAGTCAATTGGGTTCATTCATCCATATATATTGGCTAATAAGTATTATTCCTTTAGCATTGGGCTTTGTCTATGCTATTGTCAAACACGTCTTTATAAATAAAAAGGTAAGGTTTACTATTAGTAGATTTTTTAAATACTATTTATCTTATTGACTAAAAGTATAATAAAGTGTAAGGCGTGTACTTACTGTCGTTTTTGTCACCGATATTGTTACTGTTGTCTTTTTCATGTGCAAGGTTTTCATGTGTAAAAATTGTCTAAAAACAAACGACTATCAGCCACATTTTAACTGTCAAATTCAAGTGATAAACCAGCATTTTAAAACATATATATTTTTTAACATTAGCTAACATGTCGTGCACCGTGGAGTCATATTTTTGTCGCATCGCGAGCGCCGCGACCAATGGCTGCAAAAGAATATCACAGTAGCAAACATGGCCGCAAGGTCACAGCTGATTTTAAAACATTTTAACAGTACTGCACAGAAATTATATCAACGTAAAAATTGAGCGCGACAAACGGGATAAAAATAAATAATTAAAACCAATAACTAGATACGAAAAAGGTGAGAAGAACATTTTTAATACAGTTCAATACATGAAAGTAATTAGAAATACGTAATAATACCTAACTTAATGTAAAACATGTAAAAACTAAAACTACATAAACCCGGGGTTTTTTGTTTTATCGGTTTCGTGGCGATGACTAACAGTAAAGATAGCTATATATATACGCCATTTCGAATCGTTATCCTTGTTCTTCAAAATGTATAACAATAGTTCATTACCAGATAAATGAAAGAAGAAATGACTCTAGTGCGGTATCTTACCGATTTGTATTGGCAGTGAAAAAAAAAATTATTTTATTTCTTCATTGTAAATATATATTTCTACGGTATTACAGTAAAGAACTAATGCACCGTGAAAAGTAAGCTAATTGTGAAAATAATGACAATAAGATATTTAAAAAATTGGTATAAAGTAAAATAATAATAACAATAAAAAAGATAAATACATTATAATTATACACTCGATTCTTGAACATCCATCACATCACAGAATCAAGCATTCACAACACACAGCAGCCCATCGCCACGCAAGCAGATCACGCGTCGGTGCTGATGTCAAGAGTTGGTTTAGCATTGTGAGGGCACGGAGCAGCGGCGAGTTCCTTTTAGTTGACCCACAAGTTCAAGACAAACCGACTGGCTAGGGCCGCGTAAGACCTGAAAACAGACACAAGTAAAATGATGGATCGAAGGATTTTTTTCTAAATGTTCGATCTTTTTATTAATAAATTATAAGTAAATTGTTGTTCCGCCTCGCCTTAAGAGAATTATATTGACGAATTTTCAGAAAATACTTCGTCGGATACAGAAACGGGCCATAGCTGTACATTTTTTGTATAAAAATGTAAGGAAAGCTTTTTGGACCTTTTCTATTAATAATAAATACGTAGATTCATGCGGATGCCACACAAACGACGAAGTCTCAAACTTGCTTCTTACCAAAGCATTACATGGATATGAAAAGTGAAGCGCGAGCCAAAGACTACACAAAGACCCTTTATAGAGAAGACACAGTTAATTGAATATATTCGTACATGTAACGAAGTACGCTCACGGCTGAAAGTGCAGACAAACTATTTTGCTGGATTGAAAAGGGGCTTGTTATCCACACTCCACTGGAACACCGCGTTGACGTCCTTTTGCAAGGTCTCAGCATCTGCTCTCTGCTCCTCACACTATAAATAATTTGAGGTCGTCAGCATAAAGACGACAACGAGCGTCCTTAAGAACCAATTCCAGATCATTGATCATTAAATTAAACAACAGAGGTTCCTATTGAACCCTGACTGACACCGGATTGAATATAATATGGACCCGACACGAAGCATTCATGCTGAATATACTGCTGCCGATCACGAAGATAGCTACCATAAAATTTAATCATCTTGCTTGCTTTGCTTGTTTAGTAGCACATTGTTATCTACGCGAAGGCTTTCTTAAAGTCGATGACGTCAACCTGAATGTCCCTGTCTAGGATGTTCAGAAATTAAGTCAACCAAAATCAAAAGATTTGTGTTGACAGGGCAATTGGATCTGAAGCTATGCTGCGAGTCGCACAAAAATGGCCTAGTTTGTGAAGATAAGGCCTGATGAAGTACGGAGTCGAACAACTTGGCTAGAGTGGAAATGTAGCTCATGTAGAAGCTCAAAATTACCTTTGCCGAAATTCCAATCCTGCTACAGATCTATATTACTGGGATCAATTAGATCAGCGAGGAGTCGCCTCATATCGTAATCGAGAGGAACCAATATCTCCGGATGATATGCGTCTTGTCTTATACTTTAATATCCACATTACACTCTGATACACTAAATCTTTTTGGGTGTTTGGGTCTAGTTCAACAGATTGAAACCATTGCATAGTGATGTCGTCTGTAACACTAGGGGGATTGTACACGACACACATATAGCAAGTGATACGATCTTATTGAGTTGAAGTTGAAGATTTCAAGCCACAACGGCGCCGCAGCTCGAATCCTAGCCGAAGTGCCGGAAGAACATCGCCTCTCCTCGCACTAGAAGCTCGATCCCAGCGTAGTACGCTCCACCCGTCACCTGTTAGCTCAGCGTCGTAAGGAAGGTCTCAGTCACCGCCACTACGTCGCATTCAAGAGACAGGAGATTTTGTTTGAAGTAGTTAAGCTTAGTGTTGAGGCATCTGACATCAATGACCATAATTAACGTCGGCCTTAGTTTACGTATGACGTTCTGAATGACCTAAGAAGTTGCCATTGTTTTGCGGTTTCCGAAATAATCAAACCTTCACTCGCACATTTTCAAGGCAGATTTCGAACTGAAATTTATATATATATAATTATTAATTAGAGGTTTAACAAAGGTTTATCACACATTGCATGTCATGTTACGGCCACTGAATTTTATAAAATATTATGCTTTATTCGTATAGAAATGTAGCAGTCTCCTACGACCGCGACCTACTTGGGGTCCTCGAGACCACGTTACAAGACAACTGAGGAAGCAGTACGACTCCAGAGATGTATGAATACCTATTCATAAACTTTGTGATGTGAAGTTGTTCGGTTTTTAACTCTACCATTGATTTGTAGTACATCCCATCGCATGCTTCGCGGTACCTAGCGAGACACATGCTGGCAAAAGCAGAGGCGGCAACTTATCGCCTGGATATTCGATACGAGTCAGCGGCTGAACACAAACAATCTATTGTCAAGGACTCTTTTAAAATGGAACAAGAAAATAAATAATATAGATTTAAAAATCGCAAAGCACATTATATAATTCATATAAATCTAACAAACTCGTGGCAAAAAATAATAAAAATCAAGCAATCTCAATCTGACATCCAATAATCTCTAATTTGGATTTTTTTATTGAATCTAAATCGCGTATATTTGTTTTTTCAAACAAATCTACGTTTCTTAATAGGTCGTATGGTCAGGACTGATTGAGACAGTAAAGTGATGACTTTACCCTTCAGTCTTTTTTTTATAATACCGCGTGACGGGTTGAACAAGTCGTGCGTCTGGTGGTAAGTGACTGGCATAACAGTAGAGCGCCACTCAGAGCTTTAAATCGCAAAGATCCCATTGAACAGTTATTGGCAACTATAGTCGCCAATGACGTTGTTGCACCAAATGTTATGGGCAACTATGGTTGCCAAACAAAAACAATACCGCCGCTGTCCACTTTTTTTCTGCTTATTCTAATATGGTACCAAGCAAAGACAAAATAGAAAATAAATGTCAAAATTATAACTTGTGGCGCGATTGTTGACGTTGAGTGTTAGCTGAAGATTTCGACTGCAATGAATGCCAATACTATTTAAGTTTGCAACAATTACCTATCAAAATGATAGTCAAGATGTGCTTTTTCTGATGGTGTTAAAACTTTAACATTTGATATCCTGCGGGAATCACAATTTTATTGAGAAAAAGGTCATCAAATTGAAGGTCATTGCACCTTGCGATTGTTTATTAGAAAAAAAAACTTATTCATTATAAAAAGACTTTTTGGAGTAAAATATCACTCAAACACATTGACTTACAAATAAATGGACGACGGGTCTAATACAAAAACAACGAAAAAAATGTCCCAAGTCAACCTATTCGAAATTTAAATTGTAATGTCATCGCAGTATCGCGCTGTCAGTACAACAAATGAAGACTAAAGCGGAGTGTCGCGCTCTGTATACGATTTTAACGTCTTACAAGTGCGGACACTTTTTAGCGCGGACCCGACGTCCATATAATTGTAAGTCAATGCTCAAACACATAACTTTATTCAATATAGGTTGTGTTAAAACCTTTTTTCGGTAGTTACATTGTGAATTTTGGTAGGATTCGTAAATTTTCTTTCTCGCGACCTGTACTTTTATCAGGCCATTTTCGCAAATTTTCCGCGAATTCCGCAACTACCCGTGATTGTTTTTAATTTAAAAATAGTAAAAAAATATTTTCATATGATTCTAGTGTTAATCGATAGGTATTTAAAAGCTCGTCACTTTTAAATATGTTTTGTTTCCTAATAAAATGAATGTACAAAGTAGTTAAGCGTTAAATCGTAAAACACTATGAAAATTTCTCAGAAGTATTCAGAGTACTCGGAAGTTAGCAAATAAAGTCGTCGTATTACAATCATAACTAGTCCAAACAAGCTACTTAAGTGCTTTTATCGTTCATGTTATTTTTTTGCCGTAGCTTAATTGGTTCTCGAGATTCAAGTGTTTACATTACATGCGCTTTATCGCGGCTCCTAATGTAAACAATAAAAAAACTGTGAACTTAGCGTGATGACGTAAGCTCGCGTCTGAGCTTACAAGTGGTTTCGAGGGACTGCCACTGCACCCTGAGTCATCCTGAAGGATAAGTTGACAAGTCCTATGTGCTCGTAATTTCACTAGCACCCTTACCCTTTCAAAACTGGAAAGCAGTAATGCTCACGTTTCTACTTGGTGGCAGAAATGGGTAATGTGGCAGTACTTAGTAATTGGATTACAGGAGCAGGAGAGCTTTGTGTCAGGGTGATTTAAAGCTTTGAGAGGCACTGCAATTATCATGGATCGCAGTCATACCACCAGACCCACGGCTTGTTCGTCCCGTCATTTGTGCTATCATCAATTTTCTATTTGTCCATTTGTCATGAGATTGTTAAAGATCTGGTACATATTAGATAGTTTCGAATTTGGATATGATTAAACGTGGCTTCTTTTGTTTCTTCCTTAGTTTTGTACCTTTATATGTGCATTGATCATTGACTTACAAATAAATGGACGACGGGTCTAATACAAAAACCACGAAAAAAATGTCCCAAGTCAACCTATTCGATATTTAAATTGTAATGTCATCGCAGTATCGCGCTGTCAGTAGAACAAATGAAGACTAAAGCGGAGTTTGGCGCTCTGTATACGATTTTAGCGCCTTACAAGTGCGGACACTTTTTAGCGCGGACCCGACGTCCATATAATTGTAAGTCAATGGCATTGCTTGACACATTTAATATGAAATTTGCTTTAAAGAAATAAGGTTTAAAATTACATAAATCAAATAAAAAGGTTTATACCGTCGTTTAGCAAACAAAACGGCTAAATGATTATCACTAGTAACAGGTTTCTTACCACGGTATAACTTCTTTTTATTTTCCCGATATTTCGGAACGGTTGCACGCTCCATGGTCACGGGTTGACTGGGCCGTGGTAAGAAACCTGTTACTAGTGATAATCATTTAGTGAATAACCACGAAAGTCTTAAAATCTATAAAACGGCTAAAGTTGAAAATTGCCGGTATTGGTATTTACATTCGAATTTTACTCAAGTCAATATAAAACTTGAATACTCGTATCTATAAAAAGGATAATTTATTATTCGTAAATTAAGCTCTTATTATTAACAATACATTATGAATCTTTTATATTTTTTTCACTCTCCAATAAAATGAGTGGAAATTACTTGAGCGGCGTTGTTTGCGATGCGATTGTGATGAAATGAATTATTAAAATTATTGTTTATTTTATTTATTATTTGTGGTCATTTTGTTTTTGTGATGTTCGTTTTATTTTGCTTATTAAACTTCCCGTTTCTGAACATTTTGTATCATTGATAAACAGTACCTTGACTCATTGACTTACAAATAAATGGA